AGTTGGGCACCCGACTGAAATGGTGCCTTCGGTTGATGTTGTTGCTGAAATCCGGCGGTGCTTGGAATTGTTGAGGTTGAAACTGCTGAGACGGCTGGAATGAACCTCTTTGCTGAAATTGTTGGCCTTGTCCTTGTCCTTACCTCGGGGCATAGCTCAGATTCGGATGCTGCCTCGAACCGGGGTTGTATGTGCTCGAGAAAAGGTCGGGAGCTCGGTTGCTTGAGTTATGAAAGTTGCTACCCCCAATGGTGTTCACTTGCTCTTCTTTTTCATGTAAAGTCGGGTATGCATCGGTGGGGTGTGCCACTGATGAGCAAAATCCACATGCCTTGACTTGAGGCATATTACCCATGGCAAGCTGTTTCATAAGGTTAGTCAAATCAGTTATTTTAGTTTCTAAAGATTTAACATGTACCTCACTAACGCCTCAGCCAATGTCACTCCTTACTCCAAATTGCTTGGAGTTTTCCGCCATGGTGTCTATCAAAGTCCTCGCTTGAGTTGGCGTCTTGTTCACTATAGCTCCTCCGCTCGCGGCAATCCATCATCTTTCTTTCCATTGGTAGCAAACCTTCATAAAAATATTGAATTAGTAATTCATCAGAAATTCCATGTTGAGGACAACTTACACAAAGGTGCTTGAAGCGCTCCCAATACTCGTATAATGACTCCATGTCCTTCTGCTTGATCCCACATATCTCTCTTCTAAGCCCGGCGGCTTTGGATGCGGGAAAATACTTGTCGAGGAATGCTCTCGCCATTTGCGCCCAAGTGGTGATAGATCCCGGCGGTAAGTAGAAAAGCCACTCCCTAGCTGCGTCAACTAGGGAGAATGGAAATGCCTTCAGCTTGAGATTCTCTACCGTCGTGCCTTGCGGCTTCATCCCCAAGCATACCATGTGGAACTCGGTCATATGCTTGTACGAGTCTTCGTTAGCTAAACCATGAAAACGAGGTAGTAAGTGTATTAAACCAGTCTTAAGTTCTGCACTTACCTCTTCTGCCGGATAGGTGATGCAAAGAGATTGCTCGACGACATTGGGTGCTGCCCATTCCCTTAAAGTGCGTTCGGGATTCGTCATTTTCTCTTCGGTCTCGATGACCGGTTCTTCTTGCTCAAAATGAGCTTTCTCTTCTTCTTCCTCCGTTTGGTCTTCTGAATCGGATGACAGCTCAATATCTTTCCAAATATTGAGAACCGGTGAAGAAGTAGACGCGTCTTGCTTCTTTCGAAGCTTAGCTTACTTTCTTAGCTTCTTTGCGGTTTTCTCAATTTCCAGATCAATTGGCAATGGTGAACCTGCACGAAACGATCTTGGCATAAACAGTTAAACTTGTCGAGTCCCCGACAACGACGCCAAAAATTTGACGGGTGTCGAGTCCGGCAAATAATAGAATTTTATAAAATAATGATCTAATGGTCTAAAGTTGCACGGTGACAATTTTGTGATTATTGAGAAGTCTCGTGGCAATTTTGTGATTATGAATGTTTAGATTGTAGATCTAATCTAAGGGTTGAAAATTGGTCTTACGGGTCTCACGAAAAACCTTGGTCTCACATGATCCCAAGTCTCTATATATATATAGGGAAGGGTTCACACGAGAACACCTTCATTTTACAAGAACGCGAGAATACTCTTTCACTATAGACAATCACATGTGATACTATTATTTCATCACATATGATACACATGCGATACTAAATCAGAGACACGTCGATTTTCGATGTGATCTTGGTTGCGGGTCAAGTCGCCCATACACTACTAAGCCTCCTCATAAGTATTATCACATGTGATAAGGTTGTTGTTGATGTGATATTATAATTCATCAAGACCATCACATGTGATGCTAAATTATAGACGCAGACAATCTTTGGTGCGGCTTAAGTCGTAGACCACGTCGTCCGCACATCACAGGATCCGCTCACGTGTATTATCATATGTGATAAGAGTGTTCTTGCGTTCTCATAAAATGAAGATGTTCTCGTTTAAACCTCTACGTGTGTATATGTGTGTGAGAGAGAGAGAGAGAGATGTTGTGAGGTGGATGTGAGTTGTGGAGTCTTTTGAACTACTTAAGGGTTAAGGAAAGAAAAAAAGGGTCTCTCTTTCTCTTATCTTTTTTTGGACCTTTTTTGTGATCAAAAGTGTAAGAATGAAAAGGTTGTTTTGTAGATCATGTACTCGATTCCAATTCCTCTTCCTAAAAATAAAGGCTCCACTATGTTGGGCTTCAATAAAGCATACTTCACTTTATATAAAGCGTCTTGATAAGTGTGCGACGGTTTTTATCACGGTTAGTGTTTACCGGGTAAATTGTTACATACGATACAATTTGGTGAACTAAAATCTTATCCAATAAATAAATGATAATGTTAAATTTTACCAATAAACACTTATCTAAGTAACCGTTTGAAAAACAACCTCTAAATATAGGCATATGCCCAGAGCCAAACATATTGATTTTATTGACACGGGTATATAACATACAATCAAATAACAAGTCTTATCGGACTGAGGAAATTTACTTTTTCATAATTGAAATTGCAAAATCGAAAACAATAATCGGATGGTTAAAATACAAAATGAATGTGAAAATACTCAATTTAATATTATAATAATAACAAAATAATATATGTATTTATAAAAACTTAATATTATGATCATAAGGGTGGTGCCTGATTGATTTGAGTTTGACTCCAAAGATCAAAAGTACCTGAAGATCTCAGGTTCAAATCAAAGAAAGAATAAAAATCCCCTTGTGGTCACGGAGGTTCGAATGCGGTGACTCTAGGCTATTTGCAAAGCAGGTAGTGGTCCTGGGATTAGTCGACTCGTATAACGTGTTGGATATTCAAGTTAATTAAAAAAAACTTAATATTATATTTATAAATATAAAGTTATGGTTAATCCCTAAAGTTGTCTACTGTAATTGTTTAATGAATTGTTTTATTTAAAAATTTAAAAATATATTGATTGTTTTTAAACTTTAAAAAATTGAGAAAATATCAATTTTCGAAGACATCATTATGATACTTTAACCCACTTAGCTTTGATTTGTGATTCTAAACGAACCATAATTTCTTCTATTTGAACCTCTTACCTATTATTTTCTTGGTCCTTTTTACATATATCAACAACAAATTTCATTTTTTATATTTTTAATTTGCGAAAAAAATATAAAAAAAAATTCAAATAATAACACCCCTCTTAAAATATCTTACTTGAATCGGAATATATTTGCAATTTACGTGAAATTGCGTAGAGAACCTTAAGAAATGGTACGAGGAGTGGTTGAAGTCCTCAAAAGTTGGGCTTGACCGCTCGTTAATTTATGGGAATTTCATTCTTTGTTGCTTCCAAGATTCTGTAATTTTTTTTCAATTTTTAAATTGTTTTCGATACATGAAAATGTTTAAATAGTATAAGTTTTTATCATCTTAGTTTCCGATAAAATAAATGAAGATGATGCATATATTGAAAAAAAAAAGAGTTAGCGAAAAAGATAGAGCTCACGGAGTTTGACTCTATCGTGATTGGTGAAACCGAAAACCAAATCACGATGTAGATCATCATAGTTTGGTCAAACTTTAAACTAGCAATAAAAGAAGAACGATATTGAAAGCAAAAGTATAAAAACAGTTGTTTTGAGTCTTTTCTATTATCTTTTAGTTTTTAAGTTACGTTATTTACGGTTCGATAACTTGATATCAAGTGGTATATTATTCTTGTAATAATAAAAGGGTATTAAGGTAAAAAAAAGTTAAACATAAATCCATTCTGAGCATCTTTTACGATTATAATAGATGGAAACTAAAGCAAACCCAGACTTAAGTAACACTTGTCAAATTCATTATTAGTCGAAACGGTGTTAACTAAAAACATCTTGTACCAAATGGTCATAACGTGGTTACAATATTTGTACGTACATTTTAAGATGCAAGGTTTCAATTATAAAGGAAACGAGACCAAAAAAAAGACATTATTATGAAAGTGGTTTTACCTATTTGGTCTATCACGATAAATTCTCTATTTTGTAACGACATAAACATATGGTTTGGAAATATAACTTATTATTGTAATAGTGACCATCTCCAATAGTTTCTTCAAGACTAAGGGGCCGTTTATCAAACGCTTACCCAAGTAAGAGCTTACCATGTTACATTACTTTACCAGATGAATGTGGCAAGGACCAAGAATCTTACCCGGTAAGAGCGAGACAAGGAACAAGAGTCTTACCCGGTAAGTGAAGACGACGACTCTTACTATAGCAAGAGCTTATCAGGTAAATTATTGCATATGGTGTTGTTTTGGTGGATTAATATCTTACCCGATAAGTAAGTAATAGTGTTAAATTTTATCGGTAAGCACTTATTGAGTAAGTTTTTTTTTTGTTAAAGTATAAAAATCTTTTAAAACTCGAATAAAAAATGGAAGTATAGCAATTGCCAATAAACAAACGTAACAATCAAAGAACAACTGTATTTGTATTTATATGCATAATAATATATGTAAATTGTTCTTGTCGTTTTTCAACAGAGGACTTATGGTGGTAATATCAGCAAAACCACCAACATCAAGATGAAAATGGCACACATCACCCAAAACCACTACCAACACAAAGGGTCCTACCACTCTCATCTTACCACCATTGAATACCAACATAACCCCACCCCATCCACCCAAATCTCTTCTCATTTCCATCACACAAACTCACTACAATACAACCAAAATATTTTCACTATATAGTGCTAATCATACGAGAAAATAATTTGTATCTGTTTCAAACTTGACTGCTGTTGTAACAACTCGTCTCTCATGTATAAAAAACTGGATATGTGAACTTCTTGCAAGTTTTAAGTTGTAGGCTATCAATAACTTTCACCATAGTTTCGCAAAATTATTGGGACAACCTACTCCTTGCTCTTTTAGGTGTTACAGTATCCTCCCACCCCAGTGAACAAGATTGTCAGACTTTTATAATTGCAAGACATATATGAGAGACACATGAACATGCATCTAATAAGTGGGTATGCATACAACAACAAACATAATCATAAGTTAAACATATCCTGATCTGTACATAAACAAAGGATTAAATTGAAGTGGAAGACTAATTACCAGCAGAATGACTTGTTTTTTATTTTCCCTTTTGTGATGTTTAACCAACACTGATTAGACCATCTCCATTGTTGAAGCCTGAGATCACCTGGAATGCAGAAGATTCCCATCGATTGTTGTTATACGACAGAGAGAGGCTGAGAGATAACGACAACGGGTCCCTTTCGTGTTTCTGATTCAACTTAAGATCTGCAGTTATTGATGGATCGGGTGTTGGAAGCAAGGGAATTGGGCTAACGAGTTGAGTTGATCCACTGTTGAGTTGATTGCCATTACTGAAAGTCGCAGTTTCCATTTGATTCTCCATCCGTACTGGTGACGGAATTGGGATCGGACCCACTGTGGCTGGGAAGGCAGCCATTGGGAATCCACTTAGAGGAGACATATGCTGTGAAGACATCATAGGTGATTGTGCAGGTTGAGTACTGTTGTTATCTTCTTGAACTTGCTCTTCTTCCACTAGGATTCCTGCAACCTGATCATCATTCAAAAACATCTTAGTTGCTATTACTACTGATTCACAGATTGCGTTCTTCCTAATAATTAATTTGCACTTCACTTATATTAGGCCAAACCAGAAATTGGTTGACCAAACGAATTCAAATTCGTGCAGACGAATCAATTGGTTTGTTAGACATATCTGTTATGGATGACTGCTCACCGAATCAGTAGTGATATCAAAGAGGCTGGATCTACGGCGGCGGCGGTTGAGGTTGCTACGGCGGAGGAAATATTTCTGAGCATGGCTTGCGACTTGTGTAGGGGTACGTGTGGTCACAAAGTTCCTTGAAATTCCCCTCCAGTCCCCTTTGCCTACTTTCTGCAGACCTAAGAGAAACAGCTTGTGTTCTTCCTTGGTCCATGGAACCCCTGTTTTTTTGATGAGTTAAGATCAAATCAGAAGATTAATATCATAATATTTGATACAGCAACAAATTTGTAAAATGCCTAAAAACAGAACCTAAGAACAGCAAATTTCCAATTTCAGACATGCAAAATCGTATTCCTTCCCTACCAAATATATTGAGCAGACGACGTCATCAACGAAATACTAGAAGTTCAATCGATAAGAAAACCTATTATGAGAAATTACTACTGCAATCAAATACGAAAACATATGCACAAACGAATACACAAGAGATAAATCATTGATATTAGAGGTATAGAAGCGAGATCTAACCTCGTTTGCGCTCTCTTCCACCATTGGAGTGGTTACGGACAGCATCGTCAGCGGAGGCGTAACCGATATCGGCAGCAACGGCGGCAGAACCATCAAGGTTGTTACTATTACTAGACGAATCATGAGTGGCAGGTTGTACGTACTGTGAGAGATCGTTCATACTCACACTCTTCCTCATCGGATCAACTTTGACTCTGACTCCGAACAACATGATCTCACCGGAGCCATGATCAGCGGCGGACATACCAGAGTTCTGACCGTTGGTCCAGCAGCCTGACTGTGATTCTGACATCATCTTCCCAAATCGAACAGGAAATCTGTTGGTAGGTGAATCGGAATAAATGATGGATGGCAGGATGGGCGGTCGCTGGAATCCGATGGCCGTACAAACAGTTGGCTTCGTTTTATCGGAGGGTTGTAGATGGTAGATGCAGGTGGTGTCTATAAAAAGCCAAAAATGAGGGGTGGGTTCCATGTGGTCATCGTGTTGGAGTTTGTAGCTCATACACGTGGCCATCTCTGGTTCGATGCTTATTTGTCCTCCAACCACACTCCTTTCATCGCCAAAACTCAAAGTCAAACCAGGTTTCTCCTACTCAGTTTACCATTTTTTTTCTTAAATAGGAAAATTGCTAAATACATCTCTAACTGATTATTTTCTTCTCCTGTACAAACATCAAAATATTCTTATTTTATATTTTAAATGCATGACTTGATTTAGTGTGTTCAAAAATCCGATCAACTCAATCCAACTAGAAATAATTTAATCCGAAGCAACCCGATGTCTAATCGATTTGTAAAAGTTTCAAACGGTAGGTATTGAGTTGATATTGAGTTGCTATTATTTGAACCCAACCTAACCTGATGCAAACCAATATCATTTTATTTCTTGGATTTAGTATGATGATTGAGTTTATATTAATACTAGAAGAGTACTCGTGCAATGCAGCAAGATACATCGTGATTTTAATATTTCATTTTATTCTTTATCTCAATCGATGTTATAATATGGCTTTATGTGATTTTGAGAAAGCAATGATGTTTTTATTTTTGAATAAAATATATGTTTGAAGATATCATAAAAATTTGACAAAAATATATCAATATTAGTATC